TGAGGCCGGAACAGAGGAAGAGCAAGCAGCATTCATGAAGAAGCTGGAAACTTTCCACAAAGAGAGGTGCTTGGAATTCAAACCCCCAAGATTTTATGGAGAGCCATTAAATTTCCTCAAGTGAGTTATGAGTGACCCTAATTGTCAAATTTGCTTGCTTTAATTTTTTGGGTGCTTCCTGATTTGCACTAATGTTTCTTGTATATGTGAGTTAGGTTATGGAGAGCAGTCATCAAACTTGGTGGCTATGAACAGGTTTCCCAGAAATTTTAGTTTGATGAACTTATTTCCTTTTTATCATGTGCATTATCTTTTACTATGGTCTGGTCTATCCCTTGTAGTTCATCTACTAGTTACATACATTAACCCTGATGTTGAATGGAATCTTAGAATATTATAACTACTGGCTCCATTTCATAAATTTATTGGGAAAAATTCCAAGTACTTGGATTTGTGCACTTATTTTTGATGGGGGAAATAAACTATTATTTTATTGACACATTTTGCCTATAGTATCAAGTTAAATATGCAATATATTGTTTGAGAAGGAACTAAAAGGACAGAGTAACATATTAGGGCTTGTTTTTTGTTGGTAAATATGCAATATATTGTTTGAGAAGGAACTAAAAGGACAGAGTAACATATTAGGGCTTGTTTTTTGTTGGTAAATATGCAATATATTGTTTGAGAAGGAACTAAAAGGACAGAGTAACATATTAGGGCTTGTTTTTTGTTGGTAAATATGCAATATATTGTTTGAGAAGGAACTAAAAGGACAGAGTAACATATTAGGGCTTGTTTTTTGTTGGTAAATATGCAATATATTGTTTGAGAAGGAACTAAAAGGACAGAGTAACATATTAGGGCTTGTTTTTTGTTGGTAAATATGCAATATATTGTTTGAGAAGGAACTAAAAGGACAGAGTAACATATTAGGGCTTGTTTTTTGTTGGTAAATATGCAATATATTGTTTGAGAAGGAACTAAAAGGACAGAGTAACATATTAGGGCTTGTTTTTTGTTGGTAAATATGCAATATATTGTTTGAGAAGGAACTAAAAGGACAGAGTAACATATTAGGGCTTGTTTTTTGTTGGTAAATATGCAATATATTGTTTGAGAAGGAACTAAAAGGACAGAGTAACATATTAGGGCTTGTTTTTTGTTGGTAAATATGCAATATATTGTTTGCGAAGGAACTAAAAGGACAGAGTAACGTAAAAGGACAGAGTAACGAATCATGTATATTAATTAGGTGGTAGTAAACATATATTGTTGACAAGAAACACATTGAAAACATAATGAGAAACAAGAACTTGAAAACTATATATGTTTCTCATTATGTTTTCAATGTGTTTCTGAATTTGAAGGCAATCACCTAATTAACTGTGATGATTCAAATTTGTTCATTTCAGCTTTAGCTTTCTTTTTATTCCCACTTATTTTTTCCTACTTTTCTTAGGTGTTATATCTTTGTTGGAGGTTATAATAGTAAAGTGATGATACTGTTTTAAGTTGTGTGTAATGTTGGTTATCTCACCAAACAAATAGATGTTCAGTGTCCACAGCATTAAGGGAACAATATGGTGAAGGGTCATGTTGTGCATTTATTTTATATATAGGATCTGAATTGCCTCTAGTTTAGATTTGAATTGGAGGATATTAATTGTGGTATAGTCATCATCAAATGTTTGTAATGTAATCATATAAATTTTTTGCCATATGGTTAATTTTTTCTTATGAGAATACTTCATTTTGGATATGTTTCTAGATTCTAACTTTTCTTATTTTATTTGTAGGTGACTTCCAAAAACGATCAAGCACAAGGCTGATAATTCAAAACCATATATATTCCTTCATGTTGTAGAATTTTTTTTGGATTCCTTCATTGATTTTCCTTTTAATTTTTGTTCAATTACTTACTGGTTTTCAATGGATGGATGTTTAAAACTTGTCTCAATTAATGTTTTAAATGGAATGATTGTAAAGTTCGGTATTGAGCAGGAAAATATGATGAATTTTAATGTTATATTTAGGTTGGGTTGAATGAATTTTGTTCAATATTGGATTGAATGTTTATAAACAAAAATTGATTGTGCAAAAAAAAAAAAAAGATTCGGCGAATAGCTAATTAGTCGTTGATTGTTTAATGTCTTTTGGCGACAAAATATTTGGTTGAGAAAAGTTTTGGTGACTAAATAATTGGTCGCCAAATTCTACACTTTTGCGACTAAAATCATTGGTC